AATGGGAATGTCTTACAAACCAGATTTAAAAATATAGATATAGTAGTCATTTCTGAGCACACAACAATCTCTGTAAAATGAATTTATATGGAAGGTAAGATTTAACTTAGGGTTGCTAGTGTGTGTTCTTAGCAGCTCCCACCTAGAAATGAAGAGCCAGCCTCCACCCGTTACCACATATGATTTTAGGGACAAGACTTATGAGATAAGCTATCTAAAATAAACCTGTAAAGTCCAAGCTACTGTATAGATTTGAAATTTAGCCATGGTCCAGCAGGAAAGAAGAGGGACAGTCAGCTGGGATCTTTAAGGGAACCACATGAATGGTTTGCTTACAGGCAGGGACAGGGAACAGAAGGCCCTGGGGACTAGCAGCGGTGAGAAGCTGCCTCCATCCCCAGGGATAAGCTAATTTTCATTGAAGTCAGCCTCTTCCTAACAAGAGAAAATGAACAGTACCAGATAAGATGTTGGCAGGCAGACGGCAGCTCCACAAACCATTGTGATATTTAAGATTTCTTTCTGCCAGTCCCCAGGAACAAGTTTTCACCCAGTTTAGAATGTAAGGTGGAGATTTATTTCTGCTTTTATCGAAACTATTTTGAGAGTTTGAGAACCAAACATGAGGATTCAACAACGAGATGTGCTCTTGTTGTGTTGTTGGGTGCCCTGTGTCAGGCCTTCACTCTGATATCATTTTATGGGTCAGTTCCCAGTGCCCACTCAGGTTAGGCCAGCAGCTCTGTAGTTAGTGCTTCAGCCCTGGGCACACAAGGAGACATAAGCAAGGGCCCCAGTAGGAGCTGGGAGTCCAGCTTCCAAGTAAAAAAGGAAGAAGTCGCCCTTGGCTCTGTCCAGGAGGATGGAAGTAGATAGGTGAAGGGAAGTTGAGGCTCAGAGAGGTTGAGAGCTATCCCTAAGTCACACAGCAGTGAGACAGGACTCCAGTTCTTACAGATCTGACTCCACAGCTTGAGGGTTAGACACTCACTCCAGGTTCCTACTGCAGTGTTAGACCCTCTGTCCATGTTCCTCCCACAGTGTTAGACCCTCACTCCACGTTCCTACCACAGTGTTAGACCCTCACTTCATGTTCCTACAGCAGTGTTAGACTTTCATTCCATGTTCCTACCACCATGTTAGACTCTCTCTCCATGTTTCTACCAGTTTTAGACCCTCGCCCCATGTTCTTTCTATAGTGTTAGACCCTTTCTCCATATTCCTACTATAATGTTATATCCTCTCTTTATGGTCCTATCACAATGTTATACCCTTTGTTCCTTGTTCCTACCACTGTGTTAGTTCCTCCTTCCACATTCCCACCATAGTGTTAGACCATCACTCACCCTTCCTACCACTGTGTTTGACCCTCACTCCATGCTCCTACCGTAGTGTTAGACCACATAGTTAAGTTATTGAATTTTTCAGGATAAGGAAAGGTTTCCTTTGGCCTCTGGGTAGAAAAAGCCCATCACCTGAAGCGGTGACTCCCAGCTAGCCCCACTCTTCTTCATAGTGCATTCAGTGTTGGTGCCTAGCACCAAAATCTGAATGGGGGTCATCTTTGTATGTAAGGTTTAGGGGTTCAGAGTTTCACTCCTAAATGTTTTATACCTTACCATGTTTTCATGTTGCTTCCTTTGTTTTTAAATGAGCGATCATTAGACATGAGTATCAGGAAATGTAATAAAACTATTTTCATTTTAAAAACACAATAAAAGTAAAAGGCTGTCCAGAAATCAATTTTGTTTGTGCATCAAACTCCATCTTTGTCATTTTAAGACAAAGATGTCTCTTTGTAGTTGAAGAGAAAGGCCATGAGAGACTCTTAGAAAATCAGGCTACCACGTCTTAAGTGAAGAGAGACAAATGCATTCCAGGGTTTGGAAGAACTTTCAGACCAAACAGGAACCCAGCAGAGCACCTAGCATGTGCTCAGCACTGAGCTAGGGGCACAGTCATAACCAGTAAATGAGTCATAGCCCCAGTCATGGACAAACAAAGAGATGTACAAGGAGGCAGATTTCTCAGTGTTCTATGACTTTGTAAGTTGATGTACCACATTCTGGTGCCAGCATCGGGAGTGCTATGGAGTTATCCTATGATGCTTCCAAAAACACATGTAGGAAAGTCAGAAAAAGTGAGACAGCAGCTCCCAGCCTGGCTCAGTCATCAGAGCAGCTGTGAACTGACCTCCATAGGACATGCCATAAGGTTCCCAGGGTGTAACTGCAGGACCAACAACTGTGTGTGTGATGCAAACTGTTTCTGACAATGAAATATTCTGTATTCTATAGACCTGAAGGCTGGTTTTATTACATTTCAATGTGTAACCATTGTTCTCACACATTTTGATAGATAGCTTTAAGACACAGCATTCTCTTTCTTTGTAGTAAACAGCATATCAAATCTTATCAAGATCAAATCTTGAGCATTTATGTAAGTAAATATTGATAGAGTGTCTATTCTCTGCCAAGGATGCTAGGAGGTAGCACCTCTCTTGGGGGCTCCTATTCTAGTGGGAGGTGAAGGGATGGTCCCTTCTGAGTCATTTGTTTAATTTTTTGTAATTTTTATGGGTACATAATAGTTGTATATCTTTTCAGGGTGATGTTTTGTACAAGCACACAATTGTGTACAAGCACACAATTAATCAAATGAGGGCAATTGGGGTATCCATTGCCTTACGCATTTATCATTTCTTTGTATTAGGAACATTCTACTCTTTTAGTTATTTTGAACTGTGCCCTACACTATTTATTGTGCTATCAAATATTGTTCACTCTATCTACCTATCTAAATACATTTTTGCACCCATTAACCATCCCCACTTTATTCCCCCCCGACCCTTCCCAGTCTCTGGTAATCATTATTTTACTCTCTTTCTCTGTAAGATCAGTTGTTTTTAACATTTAGAACCCATGCATGAGTGAGAATGTGACAGATTTGTCTTTCTGTGCTTGGCTTATTTCATTAAATACAATGTTCTCCACTTCCACCGTTAGTGCCCACCAGCAAATGAACAGATGAAGAAACTGTGGTACATGTAACAATGGGACATTATAGCATCACAAAAGAGTGAAATCCTGCCATTTGCGACAACATGGATGGAACTGAAGAAATTAGGTTAAGTGAAATTAGCCAGGCACAGAAACCCGAATCTGAGCCATTTTGGTTTGCTAAAGTCCAGGATTTACTGGTGGCATAGTCCAGTAACAAGAAGGAAAGCTCTGGAGAGAGACAGGCTCGAGTTGATCCCAGCTTTGTGGCTCTGTGACCCTGGCTTGCTTGGTTTGGTCAACTTGATGAGGAGTACACTGCTACCATGGAAAGCTTCACCTCTGTGGAGTGGGCTGCCTCAGACTCAGCCTCTTCCTCCCAAACCTGCTGCCAGGGTCTGAGCCCTCTGGCATCTCCTGGCCTCCTGCCTGGACTGCCCCTCCCCTGAATCCACTCAGACACTCTCTAGGCCTTTCTTCAAACAGCAGTGACTTCTATGAAATGCAAATTAACTACCTGCACAGAACCCCCAGTGGTTTTCTGCAGTTGCAAATTTCTCACCTTCACCTACAAGAGGCTATTCCACTGGCCCCACTCACAATTGCCCCTCATCCCATTCCTCTGTGCCTCTTTCAGGTGATGAGACAGGCTGGCCCCATGGTAGACCTGGACCCAAACCTTTCACCTCCAGGACTTCTGTCCCTCCACCCCCACCAGCATGATCTGTCCCAGAAGTACACAAGCCAGACCTCCTCCTTCAGCTCCATCCCTACCACATGCCCCAGAAAGACCTGGCCACTGCTGAGACAGGCTCCCATTGCCCTCTGCAGCTGGTCCCGACCTTATCACACCTTTGCTCACTCGCTCACTCTGTCTCTAATTAATGAACAGACTGTCTTTTCTCCCCACCAGACAAGGGAGTCCCATGAAGGCAGGGATGTCCTTGCTCTCAACCACCACTGGTGGACCAGTCCCCACCCTGTAAATAACTATTGACTGTTGACAAAATGCATGTTCCCAGCCGAGTGATTTCCAGGTTGTGTTCAGTGTCTCCCTATAGTTTTGTCCCTCCTGCTCCTAGTAAATGCCAAGGTGCAGATCTGATTGGCAGAGTGGTGACTGCAACTGGAGATTCAGCGGAGCCTCAAATGCTGGGTCTGGGCACAGGGCACAATCCCAGTCTCTCCCAGTGGCACGTGGGAAGGGGAGAATGCAGACCTTGGGACCTCTCTGTCAGGAGTCTGCTGGGAAATGAATGCAGGCAGTTTGGGTTGTGATGGGGACTGGGACCCTCCTGCCATCAGAAGATGAAGGATAACAAACAGCCTGTGGTTGCACAGGACAGTCTCTCAAATAAAGACCTGTCCTACCCCAATGTCAAGGCTGTCACCCCTGAATAACACTCAGCTGCCAGGGCCCACTCACAGCTAGACCAGGGAGCTGAAGGGGACAACAGGCAACAAGCTGGGCAAGGGTCCTTTCCTCTCCCAAGCAAGGTTTAGCAGAAAACCCTGAGATTTGGAAGCTGGAGCTCCCACCTGAGTCCTGCCTCTGCTGCTCGGAGCTGGGGAGCCTAGGGCCGGTCAAGTGCTCACCCAGGAACGTGTAGTTATTCTGAAGACTAAATTAATAAACGCATTACATTACATCCTTACAACACATACAGAAAAGCTCAGTTGCCTTCTATATCAAGTTGATACCAGTAGCATTCAATTTCTCATGGGTCACAGCTTGATTTGAGGATATTTGGAGAGCCAAGAGAACGACGAGTCTCAGATGTGTCAGGTCAGAGAAGTGGGTTGTGTTCATTTAGGGCTGAGGGGCTGAGGGCTGCCCGGTGCCAGCACCTGCCCCCAAAGCTGCCTTTCACACAGGCAGAGCAGACCCCTGCCAAGGGAGCATCCCCTGCAGCGTGAGTGGCTCTAAAGCATGGCAGAGGAAGATGGGTGCCGGAGGCATGGCCTTCCTAGGTGACACGCTGTTTTGCCCTCACATTGCAGGTGGCATCCCGTTCATCCTGACCGGCGAGTTCTTCCAGCAGGCACAGCAGCCGGCCGCCTTCCTCATCGCAGGCACTGTCAACTGGCTTTCCAACTTCGCCGTGGGGCTCCTCTTCCCCTTCATTCAGGTATGACTGGCCGGGAGTGCTTTGCCACGAGGTTCCCTTTGATTCTGCAGCCCGTGGAGGGTGAATCACACACTAGAGCTTTATCTCTCTCTACAGGAAACTCAGGCTCTTCCTTTGAGGAAGGAAGAAACTGTGCTTTGGCATAACCCTTACCCCCTTGCCCCTCCAGTACCTTCCTGGAGCTGCCCCTAAATGCCATGGCCTGCCTCAGAGAGAGTGGGCAGTCACTGAGGGTGAGCAAGGAGTCCGAGGCTAGAATCTCACACCTACACCCTGCTTATCAGTCTGCAATGAGCTGACCACCATGTTAGACAAATTCCATCCAATAGTTCAATGCACACTACAGTCCACTTTCCACTTCACATCCTCATCATGGTCAGCATGACCACACCTGCCTAATACGGTCATTGTCCCCAGGGTGACAGTGAAAATGCCCACATGCTCAGAAACTGGACACAAATTTTCCTGAACAGGCATCAAATCTACTTGTTCAGGCATTAAGCCCCTACTGTGTGGCATGGAGGGTGGAGCAGAAACAAAGCCTGTGTTCCACGGTTCTGGAGTTGAACAGGGAAGTGAAAGGGGCAGATGTATGGTTTTAGATAGGGCAGGGCTCTGCACTTGGGCAGAGACCTGAGTGAAGTAGGGGAGTAGAAGAGCAGTGTGGAAACAGCCAAGTCCAGGCTAGAGAAATAGCAGATGCAAAAGCCTCGAGGGTGGGCTTTGTTCATCCTGGGTTAGGAACAGCATAGAGGCCAGGATAGCTGAACCAGGGGAAGTGAGGAGATGGAACAGGTAGAAAATAAGATCAGAGGGTTTTACAGGGACAAGAGCACAAAAGACCAGGGCTTTGCACAGGTTCTGCACAGAGAAAGGGGCCTAGAACCCTTTGCAGGAGGAAGGTGAAGCCTCCCTGCTCAAATGCTATCTGTGGGTATTTGGGACTCCCTGCTGTGTGTCCACAATACCAGATGAGGTCACCGGGTGAAGTCACGTGGAGAAGGTGAGAAGCCCTAGATGCTCCTGAGAAAGGACTCAGCACATATTCTCAAGGGTTAACTCAACCCTGTCCTCCTCTCCCACCAGTTGTTCTGGAGACCTGGTTCTAGGCTGCCTGTTAATTTACAGCACCAAGCCCAGCTCACCCAGAGACTGACTGGCAGCCTGAGTGAAGAGAAGGTCAGGGTCCCCAGCCAGTTTGCTGATAGCCTGTGTGACCACTGCTTCCTGAGCAGTTACCCTGTGCCCAGTCCCCATGCATGGCTTTCTGTGCCTGTGTCGCACCCACACAGCCCTGAGCTGGAGTCTCCCTTCCTTGCCATTTTGCAGCACCAGGCTGGTTCCTGAACCCACATAACTTACAAAGCATCTTTACGCATAAGCAACAGCCACCCCATCTCTGAAGCATGAGTGCCATTTGGGGCTGGAGGGCTGTGGAAAGAGAAGGTTCCACATCGTCACTCCCATCCTTGGGCACTTTCGCCCAGCTGCAGTCAGAGCAAGACAAGCTATCTTTTCAACTGACTTCAAACCTTAAATGCCTTTTTCCAGTCTGGTTCAAAGTTAGCGGAGCCAAGGGCCAGTAAAACAGTCCCCACTGTAGTGAAAATTAGCCTCAAGCTGCTGCTCTGCTAATGCTAATATCCACCTTTAAGAAATCTTGGAGCTTTTGCATGCCCGCCACCAAGCTTTGTGAGTCCCTCACAAAGAATTAGGTCCCTCTCTTCTGAGTGACTGGGAGGGGGGCTAAAAGAACAAAAATGCCATCTCATTTCCTGCTAATTTGAGAGTTAGCCGCACAGACATGCCCCTATAATCCCAGCAATATTGAGCACTTGTTGTGTGCCAGGCAACCCTCCACCCCGTCAATGCTAGGAGGTTATACCTTTGTTGCTCCCTGTGACAGATAAGGAGACAAAATCAGAGAGGTACAGTGACTTCCAAGGTCACTCTTCTGGGAAGTGACAGAATCGGCTTGAATCCAAGTCTCTGAGTCTCACCTATAAGACAAGGGCAATAAGGAGTCAGCAGGTGGCCCCATCCTCAAAGTTCATTTTAATTTGAGTAATTTGTCCAAATAGTGTCCTTCCGTTTCCTGGCATATAACTCTGAAAATCCTTATAATCTTCAAAGTGATGAGTGTCTTGTGAATTAATGAGTTGACTGGTGGCTAACAGCTCCTTGACAGCTTCAGGGTGAGAACTGGTCACCAGAATAACCAAGGAAGGTTTAGAGGATTGGCCCAGGGAGGGGAGTGGATGAGGGTTGAGGTGGGCACCAGTGGCCCCGGATGTAATCGATCACACCTACATAATGAAGCCTCCGAGAAAGCAAAAGAGAACCGAGTTGGGATGAGCTTTCCGCCAGAGCCTGGGGAGGGTAGGGAAGCCCCGCCCTGTTCTGTGCGTCTCTTTATCTGTGTCCATCAGTGTCCTTTGTAATAAACCAGGACACATTAAGTGGTTCCCTAAGTTCTGTGAGCTGCTCTAGCAAATTCACTGAATCCAAGAAAGGGGTCATGAGAACCCACATTGATAGACAGTTGGCCAAAAGTAAAAGTAGAACAACCTGATGTTTCAGAACACCCACACCACAGGAACATGCTGCGGTGAGAAGCAGGGAGCTGGACGTGCCCCAGCGCCGGCCTCGGGAGCTAGCACTAAGATGAGAGAGCAGAGACAAGGCAGGAGCCCATCTGCCATGTATGTGAACTTGAAAACACACATAAAACAGCTTCCCAGACTGTCAAAAGATAGACTGACAGGTGAGCGATAAGAGACAGACAGATAAGTAGAGAGAAATTAGACATGCAGTGAGATAGATGATAGATAGATAAAGAATAGGTTGAATCAAGGACATTTATCGAATATTTAAATATGAGCTTGTCTGGAATTGAAAGGGAGATCACTGCTGCGCTGGTTGTGGTGGCTAACACCCCTAATCCTAGCACTCGGGGAGGCAAAGGTGGGCAGATTGTTTGAGTTCAGGAGTCCAAGACCAGCCTGAGAAATAGGAGGCCCTGTCTCTACTAAAAATAGAAAATTGAACAAAAAGAAAGAAAGAAAGAAAGAAACCTAGCCCAGCATTGTGCGGGGTGTCTATAATCCCAGCTACTTGGGAGGCTCAGGCAAGAGGTTGAGTCAAAATACTGAGGCCCAAGCCCAAGAAGCTGAGGTTGCTATGAGCTAGGATTCCATGGCACTCTATCCATCGCAGCAGGGTGAGACTCTGTCTTAATAAATAAATAAATAAATAAATTTCTGAGGGAGACTATTGCTGTAGGACAAAAGGAGTGAGCATGGGGACTGTGGAGAGAAAGGAGAGAAACAAGTGCAGGTAAGAGAGGGCCTCACACAGTCCAGCAGTGACAGCGTGGCACATGCTGAGGCAAAGACTAACCAAACCCTGTGCCCTGGGGGTTGGAGTGCAGTGCAGGGCAGAACAGAAGGGCCAGGCAACGTGAGTGATCCCAGCCCGGCATGTTAGCATCAGGAACACGGGAACAGCCTGGGCTTCTCCACCACAGCTGGGTGGCTGGAGACTGTGGTGGCACCTGTCACCCCCACCTGCCTTGGTGCACTACAGGAGCACCCACATGACGCCGGGGTGACAATGTCAGTGTTTCATTGAGCACTGTTGTGTGCTGAGCCCCACACCTGGTGCTTTATGTGCATTTTCTCACCGATCCTAACAGCCTCGGCAGGATTCACTCACTCAGCTACTACTCAAGGATGTCTGAGTGGCTCCAGCCTCCTCTCTGGAGGGGACAGTTATCCTTCATCCTTCTCTTTCTCTTCCTCTTCCTTCTTCTTCCTTTTTTCCTATAAAGTTATGAGGGAATTCTAATTACAGATGATTTGTCTCCCTGCAGAAACCACAGAAATATAAAGAAGTGAAGCAGCCACGTTAGTGTTCAGGTGCTCTGTTTCCTTCCTTTCTTCCAAACATACTTTTCTGTGTGTTTATAAAAACTAGGATAATTTTCTACTTTGTTTATGCTCTTCTCACCTGGTATTTCATATTATCAAGCTTCTCTTATGCCCACGAGCATTTTTTAATGAACAAACTCACTCTGGGTAAGGAGTTTCCAGGATGTCTGAGTTTATCAGGGCCATTCGGGAAACCCTGCAGGTGTGACTATTGATGGTTGCAAGCAGGGGAAGAAGGGCCCTGCTGGACATATGTATGGAGATCTGGTCAGGTGTCTGCCCAGGCCAGGCAAGATATGATGGTTAATTTCCTTTTTGGAGGGGAGCTTGCTGAAGCAGCGGGCAGGACAGGGGTGGGGGCTACCACTGGCAATGCTCAACACATTAGAGAAACACAAGACTGACAAGCTCTGAGTCACACACACACCCCAGACCCACCTGTGAGCAACTTCCACTTGCTGTAGATGCCATAAACGAACTGTTTCTACTCTCTAGCCCTTCCGAAAGCCCATGCAGCCTAAATCAAGACCGACTATACGAGTCTGCTTGGCAACCATAACAGTGTCACAACTGGCTGGCTTCAACAATAGAAATTTACTTTTTCAGAATTCTAGAGTTCTACAATCAAGCTGTCAGTAGGTTTAGTTTTCTGATGAGCCCCCCTGTCCTTCCTGTCCTCACGTGGCCTCCGTCTGTGCCTGCCTGTGTACTAATCTCTTCTTGAAAGGGCACCATATTGAATCAGGGCCACTCATATGAGGTCCTTTAAACTTAATCACCTCCCAATACAATCATGTTCTGAGGTCCTAGAGTTAGGCCTCAACCTATGAATTTGGGGAGACATAGTTCAGCCCATTATAGTCACTGAGTAAAACTACTTACACATCTTGATCATTTCACGTCTTTCAAAATGTGTCAGAGGAAAATGCACTTCCCCCCAAGATAGAGGGGCCCCAAGGAGCCTGGACACGCTTAGGAGAAAGTGTCCAAGCCAGCAGGAGTGTGGACGACAGCACGAATCACACCTATATCATGTCCCACATGTTAGCAGAGGACCCTGGGCCAACTCCT